TTGAGTAGCCTAGCAATAGGTCAGCAGTTATCCATGTTTTTCCTAAATTTCCTAGAATCTTTTTTTTTTTTTTTTTTTTTTTTTTTTAAAMAACCAAGCTCCATCTATTGGTGGGGAGCAACACCTGCTGGAAACCGGGTCCAGCGTCCCATAGATACAACCATATCCTCCCAAATTGGCACAAGCTGGGAACCGGGCCCAGCGTCCCATAACAAGCACATTCAGAAAAGTCATCAGAAAATTCTATGAAAATAAGACTGGAAACCTATTAAGAACCATTTTTAGAGTTACTCCAGACCTTTTGCGAGAAGCCTCAGAGACAAACAATTTTCGGAACACCCTCAAAGATCCACCATCAGGCCTCTTACCTTACTCCGGCAAGACTTACTGCAGCAAAGCCACCATCTCTACTGATACTATGCCCTATTTCTATCCTACCAGCTGCCCCTTCACTAGTAGGACGCGTGATATCTTTCTCTCACTAACCTCAATCCCTCTCTTACCCATTACCCGGCTTGGCTGAAAGGCCATCTGGGAAAACTCACAGTTATTTGGAAGGTATGGGAATAGCCTGCCAAGGTCCTGCAAATGCCCCTAAAACCCGCGAAATCCCTAACAAAGCCTTCCAAGGTTCACCAATTCTGTCTTACTCCCTGCCGAGCTCTTCCAGGCCTCACACTCCCTCTTCCTGCTAGGTTACGGGGCAACACAACTCACCCCAGCTCCGTCCAGACTCGTCCCAGCAGCGACCCTTGGTTGTCCCGTGGAATGCCCCCCCAAAGCACCCCCAGATCTCTCTACCAGGCCTCATGCTCCTGCATCAGCAGGTTACAGGGCAACACCCCAGCACCGGCCAGCGTCGTTCTGGCATCGAACAGCCGCAGGACACCGAGTATAACAGCCTCGGTACCACCTAAGGAAAGTTGCCAGGAATCCCCAGAATCCAGAAGACAGTTTTTAGGACAAACAGACTACCCCCCTTTTTTTTAAGAACAGATTGCAACGATTTTTGAAAATTTTGAGTTCTCAGATTGTTCTTAGCCGAAGCCAGGTAATGGCCCTGGTATTTCAAATCATTTGTATAATTCTATATGGGACGCTGGGCCCGGTTCCCAGCACGTGTTGCTCCCCACGAATAGACTGGAGCACTTGTCCCAAAAAGAAAAAAAAAAAAAAAAAAAAACGGATGGTTTTCTCTGCTTGTTTCACGCTCATGTGTTTTCTCAATACTTCCACCTATGTTTTCCGTAACGGACGCTGAGCCCAGTTCTCTGCACGTGCTGCTCCCCACGAATAGATTGGAGATTGTGTTTTATAAAAACAAAACAAAAAAAGGGTGCCGCCACGATCCTGATTCTCGGTTGTAATGTACCACTACGTGCATGACCTCTCCTCTCCGTGAAACACGGATCCTCAGACTCCAAGTGACCTTGCAAGGTCCCTTGGAGCCAACGACGATTTGGCTGGGAAATCCTCAGAGCCCAAGGATTTGTCCTCAGAGTGTTTTCACATTTCCATTTCGAATTTCATCTCCGAGGACGGGTGTAACGACGACGAAACGAAATCCTTGGAATCCCATCCCCGAGGAGTGTCTAACAACACCCTCAATCTACATCCCCGATTTTTTAAGACTAGTTTTTGAAAATTCTGACCGCTGAAACTCACGACAGCAGACCGACTCGAAAACTTGAGAGTGGGACCACCCTTGACAATAGGAATGGGAAAAAGTTCCGAAAAACACATTTTTTTGCTGCAATAATTTATTGTCTGCTGACTCTGCTCATAATTTGTTTATTTTTTCCTTTTCAATATTTTTAGTGACAGTATCATAAGTCAATGTACACCCCTGATCTTTTCCAAAACATTTCGATAAAATTTCTGAAGGCCAAAGTTGGTGCATTCAAAAACCGCAAAAAACTGCCGAACTCCTGTGCGGCTGGCGGCAGGCCACAGTGGACGGCTGTGGTGTAATCATTGCGTCTGGAGACCTGCCTCTCCTCCATCACCATGTCTTTTGAAGAGTAGTCTTTACGATACTGCTAACACAGTGCCATGACCATACTTTGCCGCACTTTCCGGTGGCGCTCGATATTCAGAAAGCCAAATGTGAAAACACATCTGTGGCGCCCACTTTGCGGTACACCACATCATTACTGATCCCCACATGGACATTGGGGCTCGCCCCTTAGGCAAGTTCGTAAGTCAACAGGATATTGTGCAACCCTTTCAATATCTCTCTCTCTCTCTCTCTCTCTCTCTCTCTCTCTCTCTCTCTCTCTCTCTCTCTCTCTCTCTGTTTTTTTTTCGAAACACCGCCTGAGGGCCCTGCTCTCGGGGGTCATAAGAGCATCCCCTCCAACAGTAGTGACCAGAGGCAGATGGCTCCGGTCTATTCCTCGCAAAAACAAATGGCAGCGCCAATGCCGCCAACCGCTGACTCTCGCAGTCTCTCGGATCCTGATCATGGTGGTTGGAGTCCAGTGCAATTTTCTTTCCCCCCCCCTCCCTTGAGGCCCCGCCAGCCTCCACTAAGGTTTGGCACCCCTAGGCTTGGAGAAGATATCACGTTTAACAAACTACAATCCGCTGTACAAGGAGTTTAATCAAATATGATCGCTGCACACCACAAGAAGTAAGGTTATAGGTCCTCCTTCCTAGTTTGTACGTCTTTCAATCCTCGAATACAATGGTATTTTACACCAGGCAAATCTTTGACTCTACTGTTTGAGCAAGATGGATCGTGTCTCTTCCTCGAGCCAAGAATCTCAGTTTGGCCAGACGGGTTCCTCCGCATTAGCGTGTTTGATAAGGCAATGCTTGCATGTTCCCTGTCATATGCTATCACAATGCTTTCTCCAAAGCTCCAGCCCATAAGCTCAGGGGACAGTTGATGAGGTTCGAGCTCATATGTAGTAATACTACCAACTTCAAAGCTGCGGTGACATCCTTGACCCGACGTATGCTCGTTAGGGGCCATCCCCCCAGTGTCCTGGCTCGAGGTTGGACTGCTTATGTGTGTGGCCAGAAGTATTGGCTGCCCACTCATGTCATCTGGCTTATGAACTGGTTTCACCGCAAGGTGCGCTGGTCACTTGCCCACATCCTGCTGCTGATTGCCAATCCTGAGCACATGCAGTATCAGCCCTCCATACAGCAATATGCGGTACCATGTGGGGCAGGCCATACTATGTGGACTGGATGGTACTAACACACCCACCCACACCCGCAAAACAAAAAAGAACACAGACGAAGCCAGGGAAAAAAAAAACAAACAAACAAACAAAACAAAAAAAAAAAAAAAAAAAAAAAAAAAAAAAAAAAAAAAAAAAAAAAAAAAAAAAAAAAAAAAAAAAAAAACCATGGCCAACATCAGGCACAAACAGCCCTTGCGACGACCAGGCGCTACAGTGTGAGCTGAGCGGTAGTATGTCGCCCGGGTGATACTATGTAGGTTGGGTCCTATGACATGAGGCGGGTCATGCGGTGCTATGTGGGGTGGATCATACAATGTGGAGTGGGTGGTACTGTGTCGGCTGGGTGGTATTATGTGGCCCAGGTGACGCTACGTGGGTTGAGTGGTAATCTGTGGAGTGGGTCATAGTATGTGGACTTGATGGCAGTATGTAGGCTGGCTGGTACAGTGCGGGGTAGATGGGCGATGCTACATGGGCTGGGTGGTACAAAAGAACTGCCCCCCTCCCCTATGAGAAAAAAAACCCACAAAAAAAGTCAAGCCCATGTGGCTGAATGCCAGTGAATGGTACCCCTATCAACTGTGGATACATAGACATGGGCTCAAATCCTGCGAGGAGAACAAAGAAAAGAACTCTTTTACGACATGATCACGCTACTGGCCGTGATTGCAGTCAGATGCATCCAGGTCTAGCTGTTACTTGTCTCCGATACAGTTAGAAAAGTGCAAGTGTGCTTATGGCGTTGGATCTTCTTTTCCCTTTTCGGGTGCCCTCTCCCACCTGGATTCGAGCTTGTGACCTGGTGGCTACCCGTCACGTGTCTCGTGACTCTCGTTCCATCCAAATCAGCCTGCTCATGTGCTTGTTTTGGAAGCAACACGCGCAAGCAGCACCTGAAAACAACAAAATGCAGCAAATCTCAACATGCGGGCCAACAAACCACATGAGGAATCATGCAAACGGCCACACAAAAACACCAACACTCAAAAAGCGATGTGCCACACTGCGTGGGACAACAACAGAAAACAAAAACAAAAAAGAACAAGCTTAAAAAGCTGCCGGCTACGGGCCACATCCCACGGGCCCCAGATCTTATGGGTGGATTATCACTTACAGTGTAATCAGTTAGGGGCTTCTGCAGAATGTTGAGGGTTCAGCCTCTACTGATTGACGAGTAGGTGAAACTCCGACGAAACAGTTTGTCACAGCCCCTCCCTCGTTTGTTGTCCTCTTCTCTTCTCCCTCTCTGTCTACGGTTTACTGGGCAGCTCTGTTTGACAATATATATAGGTTAATTAAATAAATGATTTACGCTGGGTGAGTTTGATTTGGCTCTTTCATCCTCCCTCCCCTCCCGCCCCCCTTTAGCCCACTTTCCCCCCACTTTCAGTAGATTTTAACTGTGTAATACTTTGTCCCATTTTCTGAATTTCCTACCAAAACCAAAACTAACACACTGACGACACCAGCTCTGCGAATTCTCCCTTGCCACTACAGACTATTACAGAGTGAATTAGCATGGCATGGCCCCTGCGCAAGGGAGGGAAAAAAAAAACTGGCGTCGCACAAAACTGTATTCACTTTTTGTACTCGTGCTTGCCGGTGATAGACTGCTGCCCCCCAGAATAGAAGGGGAGCCTTGAGTTATTGGGGGGAAGGGGGAAGCAAGAAAGAAAAAAAAAAAAAAAAAAAAAAAAAAAAAAAAAAAAAAAAAAAAAAAAAAAAAAAAAAAAAAAACTTAAAAAAGCACACACACAAAAAAAAACTGCATCCAAAATTTCGCAACCATTCAGAATTTCAGATCGAAACTTGAAAACAGCGGCGATCCTTCTCGTAAAGGAGAGAGCAACAACATAAATTTACAGTACCAGATAAACTCAAATCTCTCTTTCACTGCTTGCTGCACTTGTAATGGTGATAGCCAAGTTGGCACAACTAAGGAGGACTCAGATGCGAGTCCTGCCGTGCTCATGCTTCCTGCTGCATTGCTTGCAATCAACAGAGAATAGTCATTCAACTACTCGTTCTTTTCTGCATGTATAGTTCCCTCAAAAGAAAGACGACATGAGGGAAAGAAACATTTGTGAGGTCACTCAAGACTGGAGATCCGATCTAGTACGGTCATTTTCCATGAAAAGAGAGTGTATGCACAGATGCAGGACTCTGTTGCAAATGAAGAGAGGAGGTGATGGGAGGGGAAAGAGAAGCGCAGAAACGAGAACGAAGAACGCAAAGAGTATGGGATAAAAGAGAGAGCAGAGGAACGAGACTCGGAGCAAAGACAGACAGGACGGAAGGCACAGGGGCGGGGAAGAGGTGGGGAGACGAGAGGAGAGGAGAAGAGAGAGGAGACGGAGAGGAAAGAGGAGAGAGGAGGAAGGAGGTTGGAGAGATGACAGGAGAGGAGAGCGGCGACAGGAGAGAGGAGAAAGGAAAAAGGAGAAGGGAGAAGGGAAAGGAGAGAGGAGAGGAGAGGCAAGGGGATGCCGGCAAGAGCTGAGGCATAAGGTGCAATCAGTCTCCCGCAAAGTTTTCTAGGGACAATACAGAAGACTCTGGACCTCTTTCAGCTTCAAAACAGTAGAGGCATCATGCATGGGATGCCGACAATCAAAACGGAGTTGACTTCGAAAGAGCCAAAGTTTCTGACAGGTGATCATATCTCGCTGACTTCTTCTTAATCTTAGACGCGAAGTGAAAAGAGTCATCACCATGTGCCTCCTACTGCTTGGCTTGAGCATTCTCTGGCTGCTCCCATCGCTCATCGTTGCGTGGCACAATCAGCCCATATCCTCCATGCTTTCGCCTGTACAAGATGTTGATCTCACCTGTTCCAACAGTTCCAGGCACACAGATTAGCTGCTGCTGCTGCTTTTTCTTTTCCTATGTGGGCAGAGTTTGGGTTAGGGGGGACAGAAAAGCAAAATGACTTACAAATGCCCTGCTAACATGTCTGATCTTGGTGACAGATTAGGGGTATTCAGTATCTTCAGAGAGCGAATGAGTGCCCCCAGCTACCTCTTGTAGGCATACATTGCCAATCATACCGTCAACTGCGACAATCATGAAATGAAAACCGCGGTCCAGAGCTGGTACCGGAACTGGTCCAGAGCTGGCACTGCGAGAATCATGAAATGAAAACAGCGTGAAAACGCGTTTGGAACCACATAAAAACTGCAAAGGTCTACAAGAATCATAAGCACCAGTTTTGAGCCCGTCCAGAGCTGCAAGAATCATGATTCATGCAATTGTAAACCGCGGTCCAGAGCTGGTACTGGAACTGGTCCAGAAGTGGTTAAGAGCTTACGTGGTTCAGAACTGGTTAAGAGCTTAAGTGGTTTGGGACTGGTTAAGAGCTTAAACCACCACTCTGCCCGACACCGAAAGTGGCATTCCAGTGAGTTCGGAGCGGGTCTTTAGGGGGGGTGCCGACCGGCAGGCGCAAGCGGGTCCAGTCCTGCAATTTTCGCGTGCCAACTTTGGCGATTTTTCGTGCTCAGAAAAAAATACGAAAAAAATCTGAAAATTTGAGATCCTGTAGATTAGGTCGTGATCTTTCCAGGAAAAAGATCATAAAAATGAAAAGAAAATAAAATTTAGCCCATGAAATAAATGCTGTGCCAATTCGTCACACTTTCCATTTTTGCCACTCTACAACTTGTGGGCCAATGGGAAAAGTACCCCAATTTCAGCGATTTTTCACGCTCAGAAGAATACGTACAAAAATCTGAAAATTGGAGGGTCCATAGATTTGGTTGTGACCTTTGCAGGAAAAAAAATATTAAAAAAAATAAAAAGAATTGTTTCCACCACGAAATAGGTCATGGCAGCAATTTATCGCATTTTCCATTGTCACCGCTGTGCCGGTTCTCCACACTATGCTACCGGTAGCCTCATGAACCTGTGCTACCGGTCCCCCGACTTTCCAACGTCAGGTAGAGTGGTGCTTTTTTTAACCGGTCTAGAACTGGTTCAGAACTGGTTAACAGCTTAACTGGTCCACAACTGGTTCAGAATCTTCAGATATGGTTAAGAGCTCAACCATCTCACAACTGGTCCAGGAGCTTAACTGGTCCAGAACTGGTTAGGAGCTCAACTTGCTTGGAACTGATTCAAGTGGTTCTAAACCAGGGTTCAGAACATACTTGCGGCGCATCACGTGCACGCGAGTTGTGCACGAGCGGCGCGTAGCAGACACGCACATGATGTAGCGCACCCCAATAATTAGGGTTGATTAAAAAAATTCGGAAAGGGCAGGCTGTGGTAGGCAAATGTGGCCCTCCCTTCTGAAAATTTAAAAGGCACAGAAGAAAAAACAAATTGGGGCCACATCGTACTCCTCATTGGATCCAGTCTCTTTTCCAAAGCCCCCAGCAAAGAATCAGCAAGGGTCCCTTTTTTTTAGCAGAGAGGTTCATCAAATTTCGAGCTCGACAAGAGCAGGCCAGCAATAGATGCTCTGGATTCGGATTCGGGACTGTGGTCCAGCAGTTATGGGTTACTACTACTTACTCCAGTAGCACTCTCGTCTTCTTGTTTTCCTTTTCTTACGTGACAGCCGGCCTGCTACTTCCCTACCATAAGTCCATCGCCTAGCTCTTTCTTGGCGAGGGGACGCCTGCTAATTATCTGCAGGGACCTTTCGGATTACTCCCAGGGGTTTTCTGATTTATGTGAAAGGGCTCTTTGCTCTTTGCTCTTTGCTCTCTCTCTCTCTCTCTCTCTCTCTCTCTCTCTCTCTCTCGCTCCCGCTCCCGCAGGCGTGCGTGCACGTGTATCCACACACCACAGACGCTTCTTTCTTTTTTTCCTTCTTTTTTTTTCTTTTTTCTTTCTTTCTGTTTTTCGTGCATCTGCGATGAGTGCATTGCGCCGCAAGGCGCACTGCACATATGCGCCGCAAGTATGCTTCAGAACAATCAGAACTGATAACATCTGAGTTTTTTGCTGAACAAATTTGTGTGCTTGTTGAAGTCCTGAGTTTCTCCTGGATTTGGACGGGGATTTCTGCGGTTGCTTTGAAAATGGTTTGTCTAGGATGAATCCATGTCTTTTTTCGTAGGTTCTGGGTTGCCCGAGTGCTTGCTGTCTAGAATGAGTCCATGTCTATTCTCGTTAGACACGGGCTGGAGAGAAGGACCTACCTGTAAATGCTGAGCTCCGGGGTGCAGACAGTTACGTGCATCCTTGTGGAGGGAAAAAAAAACAAATTCATAATTTTTTGATCATGATACTTACCCTAAGCTCGTGGCTGCATCCGAGATGCCCAGAGGTGCAATTTGGCGGTCCAGAAGGGTAGGACTCGGGCTTTTTCTGCAGTTTGGGGGTCTAGAAGCGGTAGGACTGAACTTTGGCCTGGTGTACAGACATACGGACAAACTGCTCGTTCTTTCTTTTGGGAGAGGAGGGGACACGTGCACACACACAGGGGAGAGAGAGAGAGAGAGAGAGAGAGAGAGAGAGAGAGAGAGAGAGAGAGAGAGAGAGAGAGAGAGAGAACAACGTCGATGCACACAGCATAACTCAACTCACCACTCTCTTTGTTTCTGAAGGCATAGAAGTCATGGCCAACATTCATCAATTCCTCCAAAGCTTGCTCGAAGTCCATAGGCGGCATCTCGAAGTACTTTGTCCGTACCACCTAAACATAAAAACAAAAGAAGAAAGAACAAATGGTGAAAACTTAGAGAAGGATAAGCAGAAAAATGACGACCAAAACATCGACCAAGCAGCAACCAGCTGAGAAGAATCATGCACCAAATCGAACAACATAGTACTTTTTTTACATGCCCGTGGAATAGGAACCGAACAGAAGCTCCCAAGAATAGATACGTAGCCAGAGCCATCTGGCTCTGTTTTCTCTCTCTCTCTCTCTCTCTCTCTCTCTCTCTCTCTCTCTCTCTCTCTCTCTCTCTCTCTCTCTCTCTCTCTCTCTCTCTCTCTC